ACTGTCCATGATTTTTCCTCCCTCCAGCAATCTCCTCTAAGCCCCAGCGCCTGGAGCGGTACAAGGAGCTCATCCATCGCCTGCCTCGCCTCAACCGCAAGACCCTGGCTGCGCTGATTGGGCACCTCTATCGGTCAGCCACCTCCCCATGGGTCCCCCAGTTTGATGATGTCCCCAGGGCCAGCCCGCAGGGTGGAATTTCGCAGAGAATGCTGGCTTCCATCCTTGTGGACCAGGCAGAGCCCAGTGCCCCATGCCAGTGTTGGGAAATTATGAGCATGCGTGACAGCTCAACCATTCCCAAAGTTGTCCTACTGCAGTAGAGAAGTTTGAGAGTGGGGAACACCCCCTTGTAAGATGTCAGTTTCACCGAGGGCACAAAAAAAACTGGAAAGAAACAAATTCCCATCCCTGACTCAGAGCACTGTGTGATTGCAGCCTGAAGTTCTGGAAACAGGAACTTCATGCCTAACATATGGGGAGCTGAGAAGAGAGGAGGTGGTTTTTGGGTAGAAGTGGGCAGCTGGGGCTGGCACACCTCCAGACCTGGCTAGCCCCTCACCCCCATGCTTCCTGCCCCAGTGTGCAGAAGTGTGCAGACCTCAACCAGATGAGCACCAAGAACCTGTCGCTGCTCTTCGCACCCAGCCTCTTCCAGACTGATGGCAAAGGCGAGCATGAGGTGAAGGTGATGGAAGACCTCATTGATAACTACGTCACCATCTTCAACGTGAGCTGTCTTTGTCCCTCCACCCATGCTGGCCCCCTGTTCCTCACTCTTCAACACCCATACTGGCCCTGCCCCCACCCACAGCCCCCTCCATGTTGATGTCATGAATCTTCTCTCTTTCCCTGGCAGATCGATGAGGATCAGGTGTCCCAGATGGATCTGGAGAACAGTCTGATCACCACCTGGAAGGATACCCAGGTACTGGGGTGTGCTTGCTCTCCCCACATCAGGGGTCCAGGCTGGTGGACCATCAGCTTCCACTCTGAGTCCCCACTATCCCAGAAGTCCCCATACTGAGGCCAAACATCTGCAAAAGGGACCTTCTCTCCCTTTTCTACCCTTTTGTCACCTTGAGGCTCAAGCCCAAATCCCATTCCCCAGTATACCTGGGGACAGGAGATGTGCAAAATGCTCACACCATCACCATGCCATGGCACCAATGCCATCCTTCTCCCACAGCTCTCACAGGCTGGGGACCTCATCATTGAGGTTTACCTGGAGCAGAAGCTGCCCGACTGCTGTGTGACCCTGAAGGTGAGTCCCAAAGGACAGACACATCCAGGAAGGGCAGTGGGACATGGGCTCCTGGCACAGCTTGTCCCCAAGTCCCATTCTGCCACCACCTACCTGATCATCCTATGTGTCTGGCCCCAGGTGTCCCCCATGATGACAGCAGAGGAGCTCACCAACCAGGTGCTGGAGATGCGCAATGTGGCAGCTAGTCTGGACATCTGGCTGACCTTTGAGGTGCTGGAGAATGGGGAGCTGGGTAAGAACCATGGGTATAGTGTGATGGGATGCTCTGGGGGAATTTGCTGCCAGGAGCAGGGAGGATGGTGGCTGGAAAAGGGAAAGAACACAGCAGTGATGGTGTCCCTGCATTTTCAGAGCGGCCCCTGCACCCAAAGGAGAAGGTTCTGGAGCAGGCATTGCAGTGGTGCAAGCTGCCAGAGCCCAGTGCTGCATACCTACTGGTGAGGAAGGTCCCCATCGGCGAGGGCAGCTGCCTCTTCACAGGTGTGGTGACAGCAGATGGGCCCATCACCCATGAGTGGCTCCAGCCAGGACTCACAGTGGAACTTTCCCTGAAATCTCCAGCCTCCTGACCCACATCTCTTACACTGGGCAGGTGCCAAGCGTGAGACCCCCAAGTGTGGGCTGCTGAAATGCCGTGAGGAGCCCCCCAAGCTGCTGGGGAATAAGTTCTACGAGCGCTACTTTGTCATCCGTGACCGGCAGCTGCTGCTGCTCAAGGAGAAGAGGGTATGGAGGGGACACAGGGAAGTGGGGAGGGGGACCCTGGGGACTGTGGTGGCACTAGGATGGCCACAAGGGTCAGCTGGACTCTCTGTCCCCAGAGTGCTAAGCCGGAGCGTGAGTGGCCGCTGGACGTAGCCAAGGTTTACATGGGCATTAGGAAGAAGCTGAAGCCACCAGCACCGTAAGTGGGAGTATCCTGGATGTGGCTGTGGAGCACACAACCCCTGCACAGTGCTGCACTGGGTGGTTCTGCCCCACTGCCTGACTTTTCCTTTCCCCAGGTGGGGCTTCACGCTGAGCATGGACAAGCAGCAGCTGTAAGTATCTGTCCCAGTCATGCAGGGCTGGGTGTCCCTGGGTTTAGTGGAATCAGGACAGCCAAATTTGGTGCTGCAGGGTTCTAGGGTCTTGGCTGAGCTGGTGGCTGGCTGGGGTACCCAACGGACAAAGAGGTGGGTCCTTGTGCTGCCTGGACACAAGGTGGGGACCACGCTTTGGGGGAAATCCACCTCTGAGCCCCCACAGATCTCCTAGAACTGGGCTTTAATGCATGCCATTAGCAGGTCTGTGCCACCTGCAGGGCAGCATCACCCTCCACTATTTGCCCCACCACTGCTTCATCCCCATGCAGCCCAAACCAGGGTGCTCCAGGGTTCTGAGCAGAGCTGCTTCCCAGGGCCTGGTGTAGCTGTTGCCTCACACCAGAGCTGTTATTTGGACATACAGGGAGTTTGAAGGCTGTTCCCAGGGATGCCCACCAAAGAGAGTTGTGCTGGCAGCCCTGGGTTTGCAGGCAAGGTGTCAGGGGGACCTGGACCCTGCTGTCCCTGCTGCCTGCAGTTCTCATCTGGCTCCCCTGCAGATACCTAGTGTGCACGGGACAGGTGGAGCTGTGGGACTGGATCACCAGCATCCTCAAGGCTCAGGTGAGTGCAGGCAAAGCTGGGTGGGCAGGGGGGCAGCAGGGCAGCCAGGTGTGACCCTGTACTCCTGGCATGCAGCACGATGACCTACGCCCCGTCATCTTGCGCCGCCGCTCCTCCTCCGACCTCGCCAAGCAGAAGTTTGGCACCATGCCACTGGTGCCTCTGCACGGGGACAGCACTGATGCCACCATGCTCTCTGCCAATCAGACCCTGGTAAGAGCCTGACACCGGTGTTCCTGAACCCACCCATGTCATTGTGCCCACCCAAACAGGAGCTCTGGGTGTGTGTACCTGTGTGTGTTCTACGTGTTGCGCTCATGTCTGCTGTCCCCAGGCCTGTTTAGGCAGGTGTCCCCACATCCCTGCCACCAGGTGCTTATCTCTGCCTGTCTCCTCTGTTTCTAGCGCCGTCTGCACACACGAAGGACTTTGTCCATGTTTTTTGTAAGTACCCACGTGCATGGGGTGTGTTCATGCTCGCTTTGCATTGTGCATAATGGCTCCAGGAGATGCATCTGAGCTGCTCTGCACACACTGTAGCCACTGTCCTACGTGTCCTGTGCACGGTCCTGTTGTGCATGCCCAAGAGCAAAGAGGTCCAGCCCTGTTCCCTGCACCTCCCAGAGGAGCTGAACATAAGAAATGCAAGGCAGCAGGTTTGGGTGCTGCTTTCCATCAGATTGTTTCTTTATGTGCCTGGTCTTGCCTCACCTGGCTTCGTGCATTGTGCACCCATGGCCTTCCATCCCAACACTGCCAGGGGCTATGGAAACAGTGCCATTGCTTGGTGGCATAGATCTGATCCCAAATGAGTCCCAGGTGGCTCCACTGGCCAAAAGGGTAGCAGGAGCATGTCCAGAGACCCAGAGCAGCATGTGTGGGTACACACTTAGGAGCATCAGCCCCACAGCAAGGAGCCCAGCTCTCCAGGCAGCACCCTTGTGCTGGGCACTGTCTCACTCTATCCCTGTGTCCCCAGCCCATGAAGGTGCATCAGGACTCCCTGGAGGAGCAGCAAGAGAAGGAGATGGACACCGAGCCTGTCTACGAGGAGGTGGGCAACTTTCCTGAGCTGGCCACGCTGGAGCTGCAACAGAGACTGCTGGCGGACCCCTCACCTGTACCCACCATGGACAGATCCCAGAAGCCATCTTCATCCCCTGAGCAGCCCCCAGCCCCTGTGCTGCGCTCCTCACTGCCCCCCAGCCCAGCACAGAGGCTGCCAACTCCTTCTGTCACCAAGGCTGTGTCTCTTGAACGGGGCTTAAACCTGGAGTGTGACAAAGCCCCATCCTGTGGACTCAGAGCCACCCTGACTGCCTCTCTGGAGAGGAATCTGGAGTCACCCACAGTGCTGGCCAGGGACCAGGAGCAGACGGCCATGTTGGGGCACGGCTCCAGCTCCGAGACCTCCATCAGCACCAAGAAGAGGAGCGCACAGCCATCCTCACCCATCAGCGACAAACTCATCCAGGAGCTCAGCAGCATCATCCTCAAGAAGAGTGACAGCCAGACACAAGGGACAGGGACAGGAACAGGGACAGGGACAGGGTCAGGCCAGCCAGTGACATGAACTGGAGTGGCCACCGACCTGGGGGTCAAGTCACATCTGGTGGCAGCAGTGACAGTGTCACAGAGTGGGCACCCTCCTCCTGGCCTCACCCCGGAGCTGGGCTGGGAGCAGGGACAGACAGACGGGGACCACGCATGTCTGCGTGCGTGGGCAGCACATCAGCCACCGCTGTCAGTCTCAGCACCAAGGGAAGCAAGTCAAAGGGGAAGTAAAGCAGAACTGCAGTGCTCCGAGCATGGGCTGAGGACACGTAATGTTGGAGACATGGGGTACACAGGGTGAAGGTATCACTCTGCAATCAGCCCCCTGAGCTCTGCCCAGCATCCCCTTCCTAGCCCCAGTTCCATTGGGCAAGGCACCCATTTGCCCCCGCTGTCCCTTCTTGCATACATCGCGGTGTACTTTGGGTGGTCCCCAGCAGCAGAGTTGGCCATGTGTGCGCAGCGCGTGGTCCTGGCAATGGAGGATGGCTCCTGCTTATCTGGGGTGTTTACACCTTCTCCTTCCAGCATCAGGGAGAAATAAAGGTTTATTTGGATTCTAAGGGGTTCAGTAACTGCAAGGTGTGTGAGGAGGGCACCAGGCAAGGTGGGGGTGGCAGAGACAGGGACGGGACTGTGCAATAGGAGGATAACAGAGGTCTTGGAGAAGTGACTCTGTCCCTTTTGGGGCTGTTCCCAACGGCATAGGGTTAGCTGGGGGTAACTCTGGGTTGGAGCTGCAAAAGGGTCTTCTTCACATGGAGAACATGGCACAGTGTCTCTAGCCCTGCCTACAGCTGGCTCTGCTCACTGGACCGCAGGGGCAAGGCTGTTTTCTTCCATTCCCCCCTTTTCCCCAGCCCCCAGAGGCAGCAGCCAGCCTCCAATATCCAGCCCCGAAAATCCTTGGAGATGTAGAAATAGAGGAAGGGATCAAAGCAGTTATTAAAAGCACTGAAGGCCAAGGCCAGGGTGTACCAGCTGTAGGTGATATTGTTGCAGCCCGTGTCCTGCTGCAGGTAATGCATGAAGAGCAGCACGTTGCTGGGGGTAAAGCAGAGGAGGAAGGCCAACAGGACCACAGCCAGGACACGCACCACATGCCCGTAGCTCTCCTGCTTGACCAGCAGCCGAGCCAGGATGCAGCCATGGGAGATGATCATGAGCATAAAGGGAACACCGAAGCCCAGCCCCACCAGGCAGAGGAAATAGTGCCGGAAGAAATTGTCTTTCCCTTGGACATCATGGCACGTCGTGATGTTCAGCTTCGAGATGTGTTCTGTCTGTGGGTAGAACAGCAGCGGGCTCACACTCAGCACCACCAGCAGCCAGATGGCCACGCAGACACCTGCCCTGCCCCACATCCCCGTGGAGCCCTTCCAGAGGAACGGGTGGGCCACAGAGACATAGCGCTCCACACCAATGCACGTGATGAAGAGGATGGAGGTGTACATGTTCCCATAGAAAAGGGCCACCATGGTGCGGCAGAGGTAGTCCCCAAAGAGCCAGTGGTTGCCCAGGAGGTGGTAGGAGATCTTGAAGGGCAGCAGAAAGATGAAGAGGAGATCAGCAGCAGCCAGGTTGAGCAGAAAGAGGCTACTGGAGCACCTCCTGAAGTTTTTGGCCAGGACCCAGCAGGCCAATATGTTGGCAGGCAGCCCCACAAGCAGCACCACAGAGTAGAGGGTGGGGAGAAGGATGGTGGTCGTGGTGCTGTTAAGGAAGGATTCCAGAGAGGCGTCTGGGCACTCAGCTTCTTCACGGGGGGTCAGGTGCCAAAATGCCCGCCCTTTGCTGTGTGCTACAGAGGACACAAGGAGTCAGACTGGGCTAAGAACAACCTCCCAGTGCCCCCTTCCCAACTGGGTCCGCATGGCAGCTGTCCCAGGGACCCCCCTCCCTGCAGAGCCACCAGGAGCTGGTGTCTCTCTGTCTTACGGCAGCTTTGGGGCACAGGAACCCTGAGCATCTGCTGGGATGGGACCTAGGAATGGCTGTGCCCTGGTTTGGGGGACATGGGACAAGGGCACCAAAACCAGGACAGAACTGGGACACAGCCACCTGTGCATCATCCCATGTATCCCAGTACTGAGCTGCCTCTGCTCCCCAGGGCATTGGAGACCCACAGACCCTGTACTTCTGGAGCACTGCATGCACAACGTGCCTATGGGACTACACATGGGGACCAGGGGAAGATGTCCTCCCACAGCAGGGCCTGAGTCATCCCAAGGGTCTGCAGTACCTGAGCTGTCCCCCTGACACACAGCCATCCCCTCCAAGCGCCAAGTTTTAGCATGCCCCACAAGGACCCCCCTGCTCTGCCCCTTTGCCCCTACCCACATTCAGCCTCTGCCCACATCACCTGCATCTCCATGCCAGGACAGCCATCAGAGCACTTACCCAGGGGCAGCTGTGTGGCCAAGCCGAGCAGGAGGGTGACACCAAAGCCAGCAAAGCCATGCGATGACACAAGCTGAGCCATATCTGTGGGGTGGCCTCTGCAAAAGCTGCGTCCCCACTAGTGCCACGGGCAGGGCTGGCCCTGCCACACGTTACCACAGCAGGATGTCCACCAGGCCCTTCCTCTTCCTCCTCTGCCGCTTGTCCATGCGCTGCCTTTGTCCACTGTGGACACAGGCAAAATGTGTGACCGTCTCGCGGATGTCACTGAGACATGCAAAGATGGGGCTTTCCAGACACAGGAAGGAGGAAGCAGGTGCTACGTAACTCTGAAGGGATGGTTTGCAAACCACAGCTGCAAGGGCAGCAAAGATATATCTGTAGCAAGCAGACATGCGCTGAGTCCAATGGCGCTATTGGGCTGAGGAGCCTGATTTGTCTCTATCCCCTTCCTAGGTGCTGGGTGGCTCCACTCCATGTCCTCAACTCTCTGTGTCTTCCTGAAGCAGAGGGGAGTGACAGCTTGGTGACACAATCCCAGACAAAGCATCATGCATGGAAAATGCCAAACCACGGCCAAAGTGCCATGGAGGGGTAGAGGGGACAGCGGGGAGCCCTGTGGGGGCAGAGCACGGGATGAAAGTGACAGCAGAAGGAGAAGTGAGCAATAAAGGGGGATGGGGACAGAAGGGTGTGGGGGACATAGGGGACATGGGGTACTGAGGAGCACTGTGGCACTGCACAGCACCACACACGTATCCCCATGGCAGGGCTCAGCCAAGCTGGCAGCTGCACCCTTTCCATATGATACAGAATGGGGCTGCCAGCACACCACAGGATCATTGGGATCATTGCCCTGCCTGTCCCCACACAGCAGACAGCACAGCGCTCCCCATGTCCCCATCAGCAGCAGGGTTGCAGGGCTCCCTATGTCCTCCTGTCTCCATATCCCCCTGTTTCTATGCCAATGTGTCCCTTGTCTCCCTGTCCCTTTCCTCATCCTCCTGTTCCTGTGTCTTGCTGTTCTTGCGTCCCCATGTCCCCCTGTTCCCTTATGCTGTGTTCTCATGTCCCCATGTCCCCTTACCACTGTCCTCTGTCCCCTTGTCCTCATGTTTCAGTCTCCATATCTGCCTATCCCCCATTCCTGTGTCCCCATCACACCCTCCCACATATCCCCATGCCCTCGAGTCGCTGTGTTCCACCTCCTTCTCCTCATGTCCCACATACCCCTATATCCACGTAGCCCCCATCCCCCCATCCTTGCATCCCTCCATCCCCCTGTCCACATGATTCCAAGTCCCCACACCTGCACACTCCTTTACCCTACATCCCAACATCCCCATGTCCTTCATCCTCATGTTCCCAGTGTCCCCGCATCCTCTCGTCCCATCCCGGCGGCGGACGTGGAGGACGGAGCATCAGGAAGGGCTGGGAGGGGAGGGGGCACGGCGGGGAGGGGATGGGACCTGCATGGGGTGGTGTGGGAGTGGCCTCTCGGTGGGCGTGGCCTGCAGTAAGTGGGCGTGGTCTGTGATGAGTGGGCGTGGTCTACACGGAATGGGCGTGGCCTTTAGAGAATGGGCAGGGCAGCGCGGTAGGCGTGGTTTGTAGAGGGGGCGGGGCTTAGAGCGGAGGGGCGGGGCGGAGCCTCAGTTCCGGGCTACGCACACGCGCTGCGGGGCCGGGTGCGGGGCTGGGGAGATGCAGCCGCCGCCGCGCAAGGTGAGAGCGGGGTTGGGGTGCAGTAAGGGTGGCATCGGGATCTGCGTTTGGGGACTGCAGCGGGAATGGGAATGGGGATGGGGATGAGGATGGGGATGGAGACGGAGACGGAGACGGGGATCGAGACGGGGATGGGGACGGGGACGGGGATGGGGACCCCCGGGCAAGAGCTGAGCGTTCTGCCTGCAGGGGAAGTTGAGCCAGGTGGTGAAGCTCCATTTTGCCGAGCAGCTGTGCGGGCTACAGAGCAAGCAGCAGCGGGATGCCGAGCTGCTGGAGGACATCAGGTAAGGCCATCCTCAGCCCGCTGAGGTGCAGGCATGGCCGTGTCACCCGTGGGGGTGGTAGGGAGAGGTGGCCCCATTGCCACCCACTGCCCTGCTGCCTTGTCCCACAGGTCCTACAGCAAGCAGAGGGCTGCAATTGAGCGGGAGTACGGGCAGGTAAGGGTGTGTGGGAAATCAGCCCTGCAAACAGGGCTTGGATGGGGCCCTTGGGAGGAAGGGTCAGCGCAGTGCCAGCCGGGAGGGATCGATGCATCCTGGAGCACTTTGCTGAGCATGGCACAAATGCAGTCTGCTGAGTTTTGGGGCACAGTGGAAGTGCCCAGGGGGAGGAAGCATTCCCACTCCTGTGTCTGCTGGGTCATCACAGGGCTGGCATGTATCTCAGCTCCTGGGGCTTCCCACTGCATCCCTCGGGGTCTGCACTGAGCCTCCCTTTCTGTGTCCCCTCTTCTCAGCTCACTGGGTTTTGGCAGTGCCACTATCCGCACTCCCCCTGATCCCTCTTCTCTCCTCCAGCATCACCCCGGGGGCTCTGAGAGGGGCCCGGCCCCTCACTGCACTGTGCCTTCTGCCTCTCTCCTGCTGCCCTGCTGCTTTCTCAGCCACTTACCTGCTCTGGGCTCTCAGCACACATCTCGGTGGGTGCAACACCCCATGGGGGCCATCTCCATGGGGCAGAGGGTTGGGTTGCTCTATGCTTGGGGCTGCTCCGCCTTCACAGCTGGCATCAACCACCAGTATCCCCTTCTTGGTCCTCACCCCTGAAAGCTGCAGCATGTGAACTTTCTTATGCCTCCTGCCCCAAGGCAGCATTATGGAGCCAGCCTTCACCTCATTCCCCTGCATGGGCAACCTGACCCCCTGGGATGACCATTGGGTGGGGGGGTCCTCCCCTACCCCCATCCTCTGAGCCACAGCAGGGTGCCCATGAAGGAGTGGTGACAGCAGTCTGTCCACAGGCACTGCAGAGGCTGGCAAGCCAGTTTGTGAAGAGGGACTGGCAGCGAGGCCGCAGCGATGCTGGAGACTCCAGGTGGGCTATGGGAAATAGGGACAGGGACAAGGGGTTGACATGTGGCCTTCCAACCGGGAGGTGACAAACACCAGGCTGGATTTGGGTGCCCTGAGGATGCAGCACTGGGTGGGACGTCCCCACAGATGTGGTACCTGGGGCTGCCTGTCCCTGTGGGCATCCCCAAAAACCTTGTGGATGCAAGGAAGCCCTACAGATTGGCAAACTCTTTTCCCATCCCTACAGGAGTGTCTTTGCTGTCTGGAAGGGCATTATTGAGGGGACTGCATACACAGGGCAGGCACGTGTCACTGCCTCTGAAAGCTACCGCAGCCTTGCTGCTGAGGCCACCAAGAGCTCCCGGCTGTCCAAAGAGAGGATGCTCAAGAAGGTATGGGGTGAGGGGACGTCCTGCAGGGCTGGGTGAGGCGGTAGAGATATGTCCCAGGTCTCATGTCTCTTCCCAGAGCATGGAGCAGCTGCAGAAGGCGCAGGCAGAGCTACTGGAGACAGTGAAGGAGCTGGATAAAGCAAAGAAGCAGTTCAGCCACCTGCAGCGCAGTAGCGAGGTGGCCAAGGATAAGGCTGCCGACGTGGAAGCACGGTGAGCAGGGAGGGAACAGGGGCTGCCATGGCAGCACAGGGGATATGCTATGGTCTACCTGCCCCAATTCTCACTAGACTCCGTAAGAGTGACCGGAGGATTTTCCACACCAAGGCCAGCCTGCAGAAACTCAGTGCCAAGGTGAGCAGCACAGGGATGGCACGGTCCCTGAGCATGGGGACAATGTGTCACCTTGCTGTCCCCATCCCCAGTTCTCCATGCAGATGGCGGAGTACTCAAAGCAGCGGGCAGGGGTGCAGAACGAGTATGTGCTGACGCTGGTGTCTGCCAATGCCCACCTGGAGCACTACTACGATGTGGAGCTGCCTGCCATCATGCAGGTGGGGGCTGTGTGGGGACACGGTGCTGCAGGGACTCTGTGTCCCATCACAGTCACCCAATGGGTGCAGGGTTGTCTTGTGAGGCTGGTCTTGCTGGCAAGTTTCCATGCCTGTGTCTATGGGGATGTGCTGTCCGTAGGCTCTGGATGGGGATCTGTATGAGCGGCTACGCGACCACCTGAGCACGGCTGGCCGGGCAGAGGTGGAGAGCTGTGAGATCACACAGGATTGGTTCCGGCGCATCTCAGAGGCGGCTGCACGGGTACCGCCACCCATCCCATCTCTGTGCTGAATGGCACATGGTGGGGATGGGAGTGCATCCTCCAACCCCTTATTCTCCCCTATGAAGGTGTGCCGGGACCAGGACCTCCTCCTCTTCCTGCAGGACCACACCGCCTTCACGCTGGTGCCTGAGCAGCGCTTCCAGCTTGATGGCATCCAGGAGGTAGATATGAGAGTCAGTACAATATAGGCTACTGCACACCTGGACCCTTCCCAACAACCCCATCCTCGCCTAGGTGTCCCTGCTGCAGCCAGAGGATGGCGGAGCCAGCCTGGAGAAGGAGGCACGGCGCTGGGCCATGCGGGCAACACGAGACAGCAAGAACAAGGCACATGGCGAGGAGGTGGGCACACAGCCCTGGCTGTCTCTCCCAAGGGGTCTCGGAGGGTGGCTGCTGCAGCCCCATCTTGCTACCCGTGCAGGTGCTGCAGAGGCTTGAGGCCAGAAGGCACCAGGTCCCCGAGGCAGAGGTGGCTGCTGTGGAGCGGCAGATGGAGGAAGTGCGAGAAAACATCTGGAAGGCGGAGGTGGGTCCCACGTGTGTTTAAGGTGCCCTCAAGCTTCATCACCTCCTGGGTGTGGAATTATGCTGGGATGCTGTGCTATGGAGCAGCCACCCTGGGGACTGGGTCTGTGGAGGAAGGGGTGAGGCTGGGCTGTCCCCTGCTCCATAGACATCTCCATAGTCACTGAAGCATCCTTCCACTCGCAGGTTGGCAGGGCGAAGGCAGAGGCACGGTTGGCACTACTGCGCACAGCGGGGCTGGATGTGGATTCCTGGCTGGCCGGGGCTGTGCGGGCAGGTGGGGAGCTCCCACGCACCCCCAGCACAGAGGTATCCACGGGGCTGGACCCTACTGAGTTCGATGACTATGACAGCGATGAGACGTTTGAGGAGGCTGAGCCTGGGCATGCTGCTCGCACCTACCCCTACACTTGTCGGGTCATCTTTGGGTACCAGGTAAAGCCACCGGTGCCATGCATGCATGGGGATGACACTGCCAGCCTGGTTGTCACATGTTGTCACCTGTCCCCTGCAGGGCTGCCATGCAGATGAGCTATCCATAGCGCAGGGAGAGGAGCTGGAAGTTATCGAGGATGGTGATATGGAGGAGTGGGTGAAGGTGGGATCTTCCATCCAGCTTGTCCCATTGCTGGGGGCCTGGGGCCACATCACTGAGGTGATAATGTGATTTCTGTCCCTTCCAGGCTCGGAACAAGGCAGGGCAGGTCGGCTATGTCCCTGAGAAGTACCTGCTGTGCCTGAGCTGTGTGGGCAGTGAGCCGGGTTCAGCTGCCAGCACTGGAACCACGGGACCTTCGGGGGCAGCCCTGCAGCGACAGCTGTCCAGTATTATGGCTGCAGAGCTGGTCCTGGAGCCCGGAGGTGGGTATGGGATGGGGACATGGAGCATCATGCTGGGCCAGGGCCAGGGGACCACATCTTGAGGTGTTGAGCCACTCTGCTCACAGCTTGGCTGGTGCGAGCCCTGTACGACTATGAGGGGCAGAGCCCTGAGGAGCTGAGCTTCCCTGAGGGAGCCATCATCTGCGTGCTGCCCCGTGCTGAGGATGAGGTGGATGATGGCTTCTGGACTGGAGACTTTGATGGCCGAGTTGGTGTCTTCCCCTCGTTGGTAGTGGAGGAACTCACTGGGGCACGGGGCATGGCCGGGCAGGTCAGTGATGGTGGTGGTGGTGGTAGTGATGGTGGTGGTGGTGATGTCTGGGGGGTTCTGTGCTCTGCCCACCCACTACACTGTGTGTCCCTGTGCCTGCAGGAACTTCCCTCACCATCTCCACCACCTTTCTCCCCTCCTGGCCTTGCACTCAGTGCCAGCCTGGGTTCCGGTCCTGAACCACTGCTGGAAGGTGAGTGCCAGAGGGATGGCCCTGGGGGCACTCAGAGCCTGTCTGAGCCTTCTGTGGATCTAGTCTGCAGGCAGGAGGGCACAAGCAGCGGGCAGAGCTCTCCAGACCTGGCAGCCAACCGCATCCGTCCGGTATGTGCCCCTTTACAGTGATGCTCTGACCCCCAAACCTATCCCAGAGCCCAGAAAAGGGCCAGAAGAACCCTCTGTGCTGGGGTATGGTGTGATTCTGGAGGGGTTCAGGGCAATGGGATTCCCTTTCTCAGCCTGAGGGCCCCATGTCTGTTCTTCTCCCCACAGCTCCGCGCACCACCCCCACCACCTGGCCGAGCCCCCGACCTGGAGCAGGACCTCAGCTGACCCTGGGTTGCCCAGGCTGCAAAATCTTTGCCCATCCGCACATGCCTCTCACCCCTGGGCTATTCCCAGTGGTGCAGAGGGGAGCAGGACCCATGGCACAACCTGCTATTCCTTGAGTTGGTCTCCTTGGGGGCCACATCCTGCCCTGCTCGTGGGGCACTGCTGCACAGTGTGGGGCAGGCATGTCCCTGCCTCTGCCTCTCGTCCATGGCATCACTTCCCTGGGGCCTCTGCTCCTCCCCATGCTGTGCGCTGCACTGTGTCCAGCGTGGGCACAGAGTGGCCATGCCCCTATTAAAACCAGTTCACCCCACCGTTGTGTTCAGCAGCTTTAATGGTTTTAGCTCATCTATTTACAGTGCGGTTCAACACCAAAGCTCACCCTGCAGTGGGGCAGGGCAGGAAGCTTTGTCTCCATCAGCACCCCCGGGGGCTGCGTGGTCCCTCCCCATTGGCACCACGGGCATTGTGCTGGTGCTCAGTGGCACCGCCGGGGCTGTGCTCTGCGGTGAATTCAGGGTTGGGGGGCTCGAGGCGGTGCCCCTGCTCATCCCTGCAGCATCCTTCCTTGGGGTGCGGGGCATGGGCAGCAGCGGGGTGGTGGGTGCTGTGGGGGGAGTTGGGTAACTATTGCTGATGGGATGAGGTCTGTAATGTCCGTGCGTCGCTCTGGCCATGCCAAGTTGCTCACCCGGGCTGGGACCGGGGCCAGCTGCCCCCCACAGCTGAGCCTCCAGCCCTGTGTGGGGCCAGGGGCCCTGTGCCTGCTGTCAGCCACCAGGGCCAGGAGTGGAGAGGAGCTGTGGGGAGAGAGACAGGGGAGAGCGGGATGGTGCTTGGCTATGGTGCGTCTGAAGCAGCCCCATTCCATCTGCATCTGCTGATCCTGGGTGACCCCTGAAAGAGCTTTATGGGTTGTCCGCAGAAAAAACCTGGTAGGATGGGTTGTGACCCACCGCCCATGGCTTCCCCCATGCCCACCCCTGGATGTGGCCCCAAGACTGGAGACGAGCACTCACATCACACAGTGGCTCCTCGGTCGTGCACCACAGCGCTGGGCTCCTATGGAGGGAGGAGAGATGCAGGCATCATGCTGCCCATGGCCACAGCAGTGACCCTTCTGGGTGGAGTCAGCACCACTGACTTACAGCCCAGTACCCCATGCCATGCCAAGCAGCAGCTCACAACCCTCGTGGTGGTCCTGGCAGGGACCCAGGAGATGGGGTAGCTGCTGACTGGCTCCAGGGCTTGGGGCAAACATCTCAGGGATGTGCCATCACCATTCTCCCTGGTGGAGCAGCCCAAGGGCTGGGTATGTAGCTGTGCCCAGGGCTATGCATGCTCCTCCTGCCCTACGTTTTATGCCATCCCACAGCTGTAGGGCTGGGGAATGCAACCCCTTTTTTGTCCCCCTTTCTCAGCTCTCCTCAAAGAACCAAAGAGAGAAGTCTGGCATTGCAGAGGGGCAGATGAACAGAGGGAAATCACCATATCCCCATGTTTGCCCTGCACGAGACCACGCAGACCAGAGGGACTGTGGTCATTGCCACCATGGTGAGCCATGTGAGGAAGGAGGACATGGTGCTGTCCCTGTAGGAGTCTGGAGAGGAGCTGCAGCCCATCAGCTTTGTTGTTGGGCTGACCACATTCATGTCCATCCTCTTTCCTCCAGGCAGGCTGCCAGCCCTGGGACAACCCCAGCACTCAAGCACACCATGGCCTTTCTCCAGACCATTTGATTTCCTCATTCTCTGGCTCCTAAGAACCCTGAGGCAGCAGAAGGGAACAAATGCCTCTTGTTGCCTGGGGCACCCACATCTTCACCAGTGCTGTCCTGGAGCTCATTAGAGTTGGGATGATTGAGAGACACCAAGGTGTCCTTCCCCTCCCTGAGCAGCAGCCCTCCAGAGTGGGAAAACATCTAGGATGCAAATAGTTGGGTTCACTTCCTCCTGGACTTCAGGGCATCTTTCCCTGCCTGTATGTTGCATTGGTGAGCTCTGTGCACCAAGACCACCAGTTTGGGGGATGCTAAGCCATGGGCAGAGGCTTAGCATCTCATCTAAAGAAGCCCTCATCAGGGAGACAAGGATGATCCCAATGCAAGTGCCCAAAGAACTGAACCACGAAGGAAACATCTCTTGCACAAAGGACTGGAAGCAGCAGGGTGTTTGCTGCAAACCAACAACACCCTGCCTCCCCTTGGGAGTGGGCACCGGCAGGGTAGGAACAGTGTCATGATGATTTTGTGTGTCCCAAGAAGAAGCCACATGCTTTTGGACCATGCCCTGGCCAGCAGCGTTGGTATTGCTGAGAAGGGCTCAGAGGTTGGAACAAGACCATCCCTCTGCCTGCTGGCACATATATTAACAAAGAGATGGGAATCTACAGTCAGGGAAGGGGGTAAGAGCAGGGTGAGCAGGACTGAGGAGGTCTCATGCCACATCCAGCCTCAGCTCCTCTACAGCCTCTACAGTAGGAGTCACTCCACAAGCTTGGGCTGGAGAAAAAGGAAGCTCCAGGGTGACCCTGCTGTGGTGTTTCTACAAAGAAAGGGGCTCATAAAAAAAAAAGTGGAGAAAGGCTTTGTACCAGGGCCAGTAGTGACAGGATAAGGAAAAAAGAGTTTCAAAATGAAAAGGTTTAGACTAGATGGAAAGAAATTTGTCACTATTAGGGTGGTGAGATGTTGGAAAAGGCTGCCTGGGGAAGTTGTGGGTGCCCCATCATGGGAAGCTCTCCAAGTTGGGTTAGACGGGGCTTTGAGCAATCTGCTCTGATGTCTCTGCCCAGGCAGGGGGTGAACTCAGTGATCTTTAAATGTCCCTTCCAACCCCAAACATTCTGTCATTGCATGTTTGGCAGCACCCAAGCACCCTGGGACCTTAGTTGAGTGCCATGCCATGGTCCCTCAGCCCCTTCAACCCAGGAAACCACACAACGGACAAGAAGGAGGAGGAAGAACGCACCTGCTGCCCCGTGTTCTCTGCTCCAGGCTGCCTCCTGCTGCTGTCTTCTCTCCCCATCTCATCCGGCACTTCGTGTAGGCTCAGGCTCCCGTGAATATCCGACACCTCATCTGCTGACCCCAGTCCGGCCTCCTCCTGCCCCAGCTGCCCTGGGATGCTGGGACTTGACCCTCCCAGAACCCGACGGCTCAGCAGCCTCCGCTGCCGACTGGTGCTCCCAGGAGAGCTGCCCACTGCAGTGCCAGGCACTGGGGTGCCGGTGCGGCTCTGCTCCGTGCCCTTGCCACCCTGTGTCCCCTCCTGCACAGCCCCATTTTCCAGGCTACCCGTGGGGACAGTCCCATTGTGAGCCTGCTCTCGTTGGAACCGCTCGCTGCTGTGCTCCAGCTCCTCCGTGCTTGGCTCCTTGCTTCCATCGGGCTGGGCACTGTCCTGCTGCTCATGGAAAGCTGGCTTCTTCCCAATGTGCGTGACACGGAACCTGCAGTAGGGTGACCAGGTCAGAAGCTCTTCTCTTCCTTCTGCCACTGTTTCCTTCCCCTTGTTATTTCCAGCTTCCCTTTAGTTGGGAGCCTCTCTCTTTGCCCTTTGTTGGAGGATCTCTACCCCTCAGACTTCTTCAACACCACTGACACGCACCCCAGCTATGCCCTGTTGACCTGATCCCATATTTCCCTCATTTTTTGAAGAAAGTACACGCAGCACAAAGTGCTGCAGAGAGAAAGAAAAAATGCCCAACCTAGATGTTGACTGGTGAAGAACTGGGTGATCTGTCCTCCCCACAGTGGGATGGGGATGGGGATGGGTCTCTGTTCTGTGAAATGCCCTGAGATGCAGCTTAGCCAAAATAGGGCTTGAGAAGGGACTTAAGTGTGGATTTGGGGGATGTACAGTAAGTGGGCGGAGCCCAAGGAGGAAGGGATGCTCTGAACAATGAGGATGCCACCAACCACGGGGATGATACTGACCATGAGGACACTACTGACCGTGAAGACTTCACCAACCGTGAGGACTCTACTGACATAAGGGCACTACCAACCATGGGGATGCTACCAACCATGAGGACATTACACCTGATGGCTGACCACCGTTCAGGAAGCAAAAGCCAGAAATCTCAGCAGGCAGAGGGAAGACAAGGTTTTGCAGGATGAGCTGCATTTAAAGCAGAGGAATCAGAAGCCAATAGGAACTACTTGACTAAAAGCCACCAGAGCACACTCTGCACAGTCCTCTGGGACAACAGATGGTGTCCAGGTGTCACCAAGCCTCTACTGTGCACCAGGAACAGCTCAGAGCTCCAGGACAGGAAGGAGAGCAACCACAAAGTTGGCCTGACACCCACAGTGGGTGAGTCCATAATTGGAGGTGATTGTAATGTTGTGGCTGGGGAGAAGGGAGAAGCTAGGGAGCTACCACAACCTTGGAATGTGGGAGGGGTATTGCATAGGCAAAGTGTAAGAGTCTAAAGTGAGCTGGTTGTGACTAGCGTCCTGATTCTGCTTCGTAAGCATTATGAGCCCTTGCTGGCCCAGCAGACAGGAAATCTGCAGAGTGAGTGGGTGTCCAGTGGCCAAGGAACATTGGATTCATCAGAAGGACATGACGCCCCACAGCCACACTCACTGCACGAGTCACACGTGGAGCAACCACAGAAGGACAGGGCTCTGCAGAGCTCAACTGTGAGTCAGCCAGAGAAAATGCAAGTTCAGCTCAAGCACTGCTCAAAGAAACATAAGACCTACATGTTAAGAGAATGGCCATCCCAAAAAGAGAAGCTAAGAACACAGGTCCATGCACCAGATGAGATGTCAGAGGTGAAGAAGCAAAGACCACCTCCAGACTGAGTGGTCCCAGAAGTGGAACAAGGATGGATTGGTCAGTAAGTGGATGAGAGGGAGGGATGGGACTTCAGAAAGATGTACAGGATCATAGCTCTTAAATTCTCTTCAAACACAAGGGAGCTCCAGATAGAGACAGAGCAGGTCCTAAGGAGATCCTAAGAGCACTGAGCATCCTAAATGATAAGCTTATGTTTACAGGGTAGACACTACAGAGACATCAGCATCGCAGCTAGAAATGGTGCTCATAACTGAATAGCCAAGAGGCATCCTGAGAACTGCTGTGTCAGGCCAAACAGCATCAGATGTGACCTTTCATCCAGAGACTTGGAGATGAAGAACCAGCACTGTGATACAAGACCAACAAATGTTCCATCGGGCAAGGAGAGCCTGGGAGGAGGCACAAATGACAGCACCATTTCTTTGTAATGCCTTTGAGCAATGTCAGCCTGAAAGGGCCACAAAAGGACTCTCAGAAGCTGGAGGGGACTCAAGAGATAACGTAAGAAACCTTTGGATCATGAGGCAGAAGTGCTTTGGCTGTCTGCCTAGGCAGCATGGCTGGGACACTCGGTTCAATAGGACACAGCATGCTGCAGCTGAGCAAGTCAGGGATGAGAGCTCTGTGGGTCGTGGATGAGCTCTGCCATTCATTTATGGGGCTGCCCAGCAGCATGGTAGAGGTGGCAAAGATGAAAGGTTTAGGGAGAACCCTAAGAAAGATGGCAAATTATTCAATAATATGAAAGTACAGCACACACAGCCCTGATTACTCAGAATTACAGGATTATTTAGGTAGGAAAGGCCTTCAGGAGGTCTCCAGTCCCTCCTGTTCCCCCATACCTGGGCCAATTCCCACCCTCATTCCGGCTGCTCAGGGCCCTCTCCAGGCAAAGAGAAAGAGAAAAACCCCAACCCTCTGAACATCCATCTCCCTGCTCCTATAGGCCCTGTCCCAGGGTGAAATGTTTTCTTTTCATGCCCCATCCACGTTTCTCTTGTTGCAACTTCTGGCTGTTGCCTCCTGCCCTTCCGATATGCATCTCCAGGAAGAGACCAGCTCCATCTTCACTTCAACTCCTCCCACCCCTTTGAGTTTTAGGGAGCAATTAGATCCCTCCAGAGATCTCTCCAAGCCAAACAAACCCCATTCTCTCAGCAGCTCTTCGTGGGCCACATGCTCCAGCCCTGCACAGCTGCGGTGGACCTACGCTAACCTTGCAGTTGGACCTCATACCAAGGAGGTTCAGGAAGTGAGAACTTAAAATATCACCTTGGAAATATCTTATGTGACATGAAAACCTAACAAGGATAAGGAGAGAACGTCAGAATGTGAGGGAAGGTGCATTTAGGGACAGAGACCAGCTTCTTCATGCATTCAGCGGTGAGTGAGAGGAGACTGAGAAGAGCATGGATGAAGGACATGGAGGAGAGATGGAGCTGGGCTCCAGCCAGGGAATGAGATTAGCCATGAATATGTGACAGTACAGAGGTCTGGTTTACCATCCACCAATCCCAAAAGCCAGGCCAGCTGACAGCAAGGGCACCAGCTCCCCTCAAAGCCCCCAGTTCCCCTCCCTTCTGAGATTCCTGTTTCTGATGGTAGAAAGCCCAAACCCTGGTGCCCAGTCTGGCTGAATGTCACCAGAACCCTTCTGCTAGGGAATGGGGCAGCCTGGGCAGGGTCACAGATTGCATCAGTTACTCACAGTGCAGAGACCACAGGTAGCTCAGGAAGTCCCTTGAGGTGAGAACAGATAGGGACTGGGAAACTATTTGTGGGATTTGTCAGTACACTCCTCTATTCTTACCTTCCTCCCACAGTATCTAATTACCATAATTATTGCAGGCGAAGACTTGGAGCAGAATAGCCATTCTTTCATTCTGGTGGGAGTTACTTGCAACAGGAACCTGCTGTCGCCCCTCTCCATGAGATCCCTACAACCTGCCCCACAGGAAGGCTGCCCCCTACCCTGCTGTAGGCTCAGAAGGGATGTGGGTTTGGTGCTGCTCTGCTCTGAGCCAGGAGGACAACCCCAGCCTGAGTCACCAAAGGGAAGAGGAGGGAGGAAACCCACGTGTCACAGCCACACACCACGAGAATTTCAAGGTGTGAGAGGACCCGACAGCAGGGCCAACCCAGGACATGAGATGGGGAAGAGCATGAGGGAAGTGGACAAGTGGGACAGTAAAGACTTCATGGAGAAGTGCTCCATCTGAGAAGTACCTGCCCACTGAGAAGACAGTGGTCTCTCCAGGGTGCATCCGGCCTTTGCCATCCTTGGACCGGCCCTGGCGGTGCAGTGGGTGCCTCCTCCTTTTGCTGCAGTGGATGCAGGGGGCTTGCGTGGAGCCCAGGTGCACTGTATGGTGGTGAGGGGGGCCTCCATCCTGGCTGTTACGGTGGGGACAAAGGCTGCAAGAGGAAAAGGACGTGACAGGTCAAATCCTCAGCACCAAGGTGACGCACGGCGATTTCTTCTCCCTGATTCTGGAAGAGCCACAAGCTGGAATAGGTTTCCCTCACCTGGGCATTGGCACTGCGATGTCCCCTTCATTGTCCCCCAGCATCTCCTTGAGGGCTTCTGCATTTGCTGAAGATAGAGGAAAAAGGGATTGTGTCAGCCAAAGCGGCCAGAAGGCTGTGAGCCAGCCCAAGGAAACACTCACCTTCATTCTGGATGATGCATCTCACAATCTTCTCCACGGTGTCCTCGTTCAGCTCCTCCTCTTCGTCTGAAAGGAGAAATTACGGTGCCTGAGGGGTGGGCCAACCTTACAGCTCCCAGCTGCAGGGTGCTACAGGGCTAAAGGTCTCTAAGGATAAATGGGACAAGTTCACATACAAGAAACCCAAGGAGGGCTTGTTAAATACATAGAAACAATCTCCAATGGAGGAAGTTCCAGAGTTATGGTGTTTGAAGCTTAAAAGAGCACACTGGGGAAATACAGCTGGATGTCTGCCCTGTTTTGGTACCCATCTCCAGCACCTATCACAGCACGCTTTTGGCCATTTTGGTGACAGGAGGCCTGGCTGGGAGACCTTTTCCTGTGAGCAGGTTCAAGCTGGTGGGGAGCTGCCCTGCGGAGCACAATCAGGGGCTGCTGCCATGCTCCTAGAAGCCCAAAGAGACTTTCTCAAGGTCGTGGCATCTCCAGCAGTCAAAATTAGCCTGGAAAGTTCAGACAACATCCATGTGCAGCCAAGTCAAGCAGCTTACTGGGGCCAAGCTCTGCCTTGCACCCACACTCAGTGCTGCCTGTGATAGGGACAGCCCCATGGTAGCAGAGCTGAGCTCCCTTCCCCGTCGCACCATGCATTCTCCAGCCAGCCCAGCTCACACCCAAAGGCTGTGGTTGAGGAGTCCCAAAGGGCAGCAGCGGAACCCCCCAAGCCCCTGTACTCACTGGCCTGGAGTTCTGCCAGCACGTCCTTGTTATCTGGGTCGAGCTCATCCCGGAATGTCCTGCACCGGTAGCCCTTCTTCTTCAGGACATGGCAGATGAGGAATCCTACCAGCCCCATGATGAAGAAGACCAAGACAAGGAGGAAGACCATGTACAGGCTGTGCTGGGAGTCGGACTCCCCATCTTCGCTGCTGCTCTGGTCGGACATGCGGATCTAGGAGAAGGGGGAAGGTGGCTTGCAGACCCCCAGCAGGCTGCCTGCACCTCCTCCTCCTCTTCTCCTTCAGTCCCCATGCTGCCTCCAGGCCCTGTTGGGTCAGACCCGGCTCCCAGCTGGGGATGAGATGAAGGCTCAGCCCTGCCATGGCCGGCTCAGCTCTGTTTCCCAAGGACACACCGCAGCCACCAAAGCATCCCAAGGGCAGCAATAGCAGTGGGGGCCACCGCGTCCCCCCCACCGCACACAGCAGCCCAAGGGCACCAACCCCCCAGCATCACTCCGCAGAGCCCCTCGTCCTCCCTCCCTCCCCCTTCGTGACTCACGGCGGGCGGAGGACCGAACGACCGCCAGCTCCCGCATCCTCCCCGCAACCCCCGGAGCCACTTCGCTCCTCCGCCGCCCGCTTTCCCATCCCCATCCGCGGTGCGGTGCGTGGCTGCGGCGGTACCTGGGCCTGCGGTGCTCCGCAGCGCTGTCCCCGTCACCTTCACCTGCCTCCTAGCAACCCCGCATCCCCGCGGCTCTGGACCGCCGCGAGCATCCTCCGCTGCCCCGGCTTCCTCGGGAAGGAGCTCGGCGGCTTCTGCCTGCCGAGGCGGCCGCTGCCAACCTGCTCGTCCTCAGCCTGAGATCTCCGGAACGCCCGCGGTGGGGGATGGCTGCAGGCAGGCTCAGGGAAATGCTGCTGGCAGCTGCAGCGCGGGGCAAGCGGCAGCAGCGAGTGCTGGCACGCTGCTCCCTGCCCCAGCACCCCCCTTCTCGGGCAGTTTTTGGAGCAGTGAGGAAGAGCCGGCTGGAAAGTGTCTGAACACAGAGAGAGGTGCATTTGCTTGCAATAGTAGAAGCCTTGCAAAGGAGCCCCTGTGGATCCAGCAGCCCATGTCAGAGAAAGACGGCTCTCCCTTCTTCTCAAAAATGTCTGAGCTTTTCAGCATTCCAGTGCCACAACCTCCCTCTCTGTCCTCAGTCTAGGAGGTTTCACCCCAGTCTTTTCTGCTGCAAATGACACTTCTGGATCCTGCACCCAAAAGCCACCCAGCACTCTTGTGAGCCCTGGTGACACCAGTCCCATCCCACCACCACCACTGAGCCTCCTTGTGCATTTGAGCCCTTGAGGACAGGCGCATGCAGGTGACCCACAGCCCTCAGTTGTGCCACCACCAGAGCTCCCTTCCACATCCAGAAGTGGCCATCAGAGCCCTAGCAGTGGTTGCAAGGAGCCACAGACCCTCTTGCATCCCATGACTTGAGGAGGTCATCAAGTCATCAATGCCACTCTTCTGTCTGCTGTCCCAGGATGGAATGGAGGCACACCAGCCATGGCAAGGGGAGACGATGGGCACGAGGCCAGGACGGCTGCATGAGAGGGCATCTGATCTCAGCCCAACACACTGCAACAGCATATAACATTGCACAGACTGGGACATTAAAAGTATTTTGCACCTTGCTACTTCTAAGGGCACACTGCAGGTCTCGGGTTCTCCTGAGACCTAGGGTGAGGCTGATTCCCATCTGTTCTCATGCCCACGCTGTCCTTCACAATAAATCCCTTTCTGCTCCCTGGTGCTTCCACCCACCCAATGCATTTCTGCATAGCAGTCCAAACGGGGGGTGCAACCAGTCTTGGTCACGCCATCCCCTTTTCTAGGGGAACCCTGCATGGGAGGAGCTGGAAGCAGGCAAAGAGCAGGCAAGGAGCGGGCTCTGCTCCTGCCAGGCACCTCATAGGGGTATCCCATCCCATAGAGTGTCTCTACCCATCCTTCTTTCCTTCCATCAGCACTTATGGGGCAGTACTGGGGCATGGAGTGGTGGCTCTGGCCCCAGCATCCCCCTGGATCTGAATCCCCGTGGAGCCTCAAAACCGTGTCCTCATCCCCATGGGGATACATCCCTGTGTCCTCATGCCCATGGAGCCACGTCTCCATGGAGCCCCAACCCCGTGTCCCCAACCCCAGGGAGCCACATCGCCGTGGATGTGCACCCCAACGGGCTCCATCCATACAGAACTCCATTCCAGCAGATCTGCATCCCCGTGGGGCTGAATCCTTCATCCTTGTTTGGTCCATTCGGAAGCCCTGGAGGCTTCGGGCTCCCTTGTGACACTGCTGGCAGTTCTACCCCAAGTATCGCCACGGTTAACGTGAGCGCAGCTGCGGGCGCGCTGCCTGCGAAATGGGCGGTGCTTCAGCAACGCCCCGCCCACGTCCAGCTCAAGCCCCGCCCTCGTCCAGCTCAAGCCCCGCCCCTTGATGGCCACTTCTCGCGAGAGCTGATGCGCAGACAAGCGCTAACAGGCGGTGCGGTCGCGAAGTGATGACGTAGAAGGGGCGCGGGGCGGCGGTGGCGGCCTGTTCGCCATGGCGAAGACCGTGGCCTATTTCTACGACCCGGACGTCGGCAATTTCCACTACGGTGCGGGGCTGGGGTCGGGCCGGGTGGGAATCGGGCTGCTTTGGCCCCGCTCCCGGCTCGGGGTCGGGGCTGCAGAGCGGTACCGGCCCGCGGGAACGGCCTGTGCTGCGCTCGGGCCTATTCCTGCTCCATGCCGCCCCTGACCGCCTGTGGTTTCCTTCCTTCCTTCCTTCCAGGAGCTGGGCACCCCATGAAGCCGCACCGTCTGGCGCTCACCCACAGCCTGGTGCTGCACTACGGCCTCTACAAGAAGATGATCGTGAGCATCGCTCCCCGGGGGGATGGGGGAGGGCGGGTGGGCTGTGGGGCCTCCACACACGGAGCTGAGCTGCTGACCCCGGCTCCCAGCTGCCAACACCAGGCGCTGTCAATGCAGAGGGTTGGGCTGCGTTGCTGAGCTCTCTGCTAAAAGGCCTTTCTCAAGGCCTTCAGCTCCATACTGGACCCAGCAGGTAACACTCTAGCCACATTCGTAAGTGTAAGTGGACTGTGGCATTATGAGGGTCTGCTGAGCCCCCCAGTGCCTGCCTGAGCTCTGAGGGCATGGCAGCACCACTGGCTGTTGGTGCTGAGCTGGCACTGGAGGAGTGACAGTGGGTGTGAAACCTCTGTGCCTGGAGCTGCCTTTGGCAGAACCCAGCAATCAGTGTGGGCTGTGTGTTATCATACACTGATAAAAAAGAAGCCCTCTGGAGGCTGATGGGTCCATCTCAGTGCCTGAATGGAGTTTCATTCATCCTATCTCATACTTCATACATGTCTTCGACTTCCTTGCTCCCCAACCAGTTCACTCATCGTAGTTCAACGTGTTACTGTTGGGAAGATTTTTTGTTTGTTTTTTCCCTGAATGCTGAACTGTGTAATCCTGTTAAAACATGGTCATTGTTTAGCGATGATCAAGAAGGAAGCTGGTGTTTTCTTATGTTTCAAGTATGAGAGGAATGGAATCTCACCACAAATGTGTGGTGAAATGCTTTGTTTCACTTGGCATAAGGGGCACTGAGCTCAGCCCCTTTCCTGTGAATCCCTGTTCACTTTGCTGTCTTTTCCTCTAGTACAGAGCAAAGAAAGCTCTGCAGTACAGGGTGTGATGTCTCACAGTACGAGAGTAAGGCAGGGGTGCTGAGAAGCAAGTGCCTGCTTGATGCTTCTGATATGGCTGAGGCACATCTGAACCTGCAGAATACTTTGAGCTGCTGAATGCATTGGAACTGCTTCCTTTGTTCTTGGCTAGCTTTTTGGCACCTCAGTTTTGAGGGCTCTGAACTGTTTCTGCTGCTGAGGGATTAGATTCCTGTGCCAAGTGGCGCAGTTCCAGGTCACAGTGTCTGATTCACAACCCAGGTCTGACTGCTTCTTGTTGTCCCCAGAGCCTGTCATCTGCTTCATGTGCCCTGGGGAAAAAGCTGCTGCCCAGGAGGCTGCTGCAGCTCCACACCTTTCTGGTTGTGTGTACCTGTGTGTATGTTTGTATCTGTATGCATGTGTACTTGCTTGTGTCCATGTATGTACAGGGTGTCCTCTCATGGATGCTACCTTTTTAAAAGGACTGAAGAGCTCTTCTGTCACAGGCATCATCACACATAGCTCAGAAGGGGTAAACCATTGCTTGAAGGTGCAGGGATGCTGCTGCTGTCTGCTCATGCATCCCATCTTTGCCACTTGGCAATCAGGCCATTCTCCCTGTGAAACTCCAAACCAGCAACTTCCCTGTAACTGGTGTCTGAACTCAGTTACCAGGAGGTTATGCTGATGCAAGTGCACATTCCTCTGATAGCTTTGTGCAAACAGCAGTCACTCCAGGCAGGCACCTCCACACTGCTGACAGCTCCCCCAGTCTTCCTCTTTCCCAGCATTAAAGCTGTTACCAATCTTTACTGCATTTTCAAGGATCTGACTAGGTGTTTGATTGTGATATCAGAGAGGCATGTCCTCAAAGGACACTTGTTTAAGCACTCAGGAGTCAGGTGATACTACAGTCAGAGTTGTGTTATTGTGAGCACAGAGAGCAGTAATGTTGATTCTGGCACATCATGCTCTGGCGTGGTGTTTGCAGTATTTGAGAAGGCAAGGCAAGGTGCAATATTCTTGCAGGCATGTTAGCAAAATGTAAGCAGACAAATAAATCCAAGCAGGAAAACTGGATCTCAGCTGCTTTAAACATGCCACACAATTTTGACGTGATTTCTTAGTGCTCTGTGAGTGCCTGGCATTTGGCGTGGGCTCAAGTTCAAGCTGTTCCACTGCCAGAGCACTCTCTGTGGTGAGAGACCTGGGGATTGAGTGGGAGGAAATAGAAAATGAGCTGTCCCAAAATGAACACACAGCATCAATTTTTTAAAAGGAGATGCTAAAATGGACCAGTGAAACTGCTCCTTGATGCAATATCTGAAATTAATTTAGAATGCTTAAATATTTAAAAAGCTCCCTTGTGCATTCAGTGTTACTCCTGCAGTTTGGTGCTCAATAACATCGCATCCTTTAGATTTTTCAGCTGCCATTGTAGGAGCTTTTGCAGGTGTAGTAATCAGCAGCTGCTGTCTGCAGGGTCTACCCTCATGCTGGTGTATGCTGGCTACTTTGGCCAGTCACTCGGAAGCCAATCCCTGCTTGGCATGGGGATGGAATGCAGGCTGTAGGGATGTTCTGACCCCTTTGCAATCAGCTCTCTCTTCCCAGTAGAGCTCCTGGCCTTTGCCACCCACCCTGCCATGCATGCCTTTCCCTTTTTTTTTTTTTCTTTTTTCTTGTTCCCATCTCTTGCCCCATCCAAGCCTGCTCTTTTCTGCTTCCAGCCTCTGAGGTTTTTTCTCTTTCTGCTTTGCCTTTTTCTTCTCAGGTGCATCTGCACCTTTTCATCATATTACTTTCTCCTGTCTTGCCTGGATACAGACAGTTGAAACCACTGAGACAGCAGGAAGAAGTTGCCCCATTCCTGCTGTGCTCCTGGGGCAGCTCTGGCTGGGGTATGCTCAGAAGGCACTGAATCTTTGCAGAACTTAGCTTTCAGATTTTGACTGCAAATGTATGGACTTCTATGAGTAGTTTCTGTTGAGCAGGGAATTTTCCTACAGAAAGAGCAAAAAGCACATTCTGACCAGACACATCTGAATGTTAAATCCATGTCTGTGTGAGGCAGTAGGCAGGGCTGAGCACTTCACTGTTTTTAGCCCTGAAACTGGTGGTTGTTTTTTTTGAGGGAGGAGAGGGTTACACTTTCCTCAAGAAGCTGAAACTGCAGAGGAAACTTCATCCTGACTGGCAGAGTTCTGAGCACATAAAAGCAGGGGATTATTGGCCAACTGTGACTATAAAATAGTCACAACTTTGTTAACTTTGCGCTATGGTTACATCATTATCTGTCTTCCTCACCACCTCCAAACAAGAGGCTGCTATTTTGTCAAGGTAGTTGAAATCAGTTTTAATTTGTGACACCTTTTTCAGCTTATTTGTGGCTGTGGTGGGCAAATCTTTAAGGCTCAGTATTGCACAAAGAGAGAGAGAATTGTCTCGCTGCTCATCTTCTCTGCTTTTCTGCTACGTGTTCCTGCTGCCTTTCCTGTGCTGCATCTGGAAGCTGCTGGATCCCGTGGGAACAGATGGAACTCGGTCACTCAGCAAAAGCAAGAGAGTTTTGTGCTGAGCTGGCTGAGCAAGGGGCTGAGTGCCAGGCATGCTTAGGGAAGTGCCTGGGGTTGTGGCTGCAGTGGGTGAAGGGCAAGAGGAGGGGGAGGGAGTCAGCTTTCCCCTTTTACCAGCAGTGAGTACGTCTGGAAGATTTTGGTTTTGTTGTTTCTGTTGTTTTTCATCCCTCCTTTCTGCTCCAAGTCCCTCTATTTCTTTGTCCAAGAGCACCTCTTAATGTCCTATGAGTGTCACTTCTTTTCTGTGACATTGTGGTCTTTAGTCATCAGAATTCCTGATAGTCCTTGTTGGATCCAGCCCCACCTTCACCCCTACCTGCCAGTCCCACTCTCCAGGCTTCAGCTATCCCAAGCAGCAGCCTCTGAGGAGCAGAGCACCACATATTCACAGGGAAAGCACTGTGCCACATGCTGAGCAGTACAGTTTGCACAGTAAAGGAGATATCACGTTTGTTAGGTTGTATTTTACCACTGAAACATATCAAAGTTCTTGCCTGGCCCAGGGAAGGCATGCTGTGGGAGCTGCCTCAGCACGTTCTCCCTCTGGAGATGAGCTCATGCTTTCTATGTGTTTTCTAATCTTCCAACTTTTTTTTTATAGAAGTGTGTGCTTTAATTAAGACAAGTTCTGAAACACGAAAGATTCTCTCAATGGTTTCAATGTAGCTTTAATTTCCCCTTTTTGGGTATGTGGAGTTGACTTTTAACTTCCTGTTTATTGAGGTATGCGTGTTAAGCGCCAAACTGGCAAATGTGTGTTGTCATGAGAACTTGAGTTCAAATCCATCCGGCCCCATGACTGTTTTTAGCTGACTTTCCAGAGGAAACAAAGCTTATGCAAATGTTCCATCTGCCTAAGAGCCTTCTCCAAATTAACTTCTGAACTTACCAGCCCTGTAAACAGCTCTGATGGAGGGATGGAAACCTCCACTACATCAAGTTGGTGTGACTGGTGAGGCAGCAGTGCTCCCCATGAGGACAGAGCTGAAGTTTAGGTTGAGCTGTTAATTTTTGCTGGCTTGCTGTTTGTCCTGCCAATGGGGGATAGTGGTGAAAGGAAGGAATTGGAGAACGTATGGGAGAGGCTGCAGTTATTACAAAGGGCAGGAGATGCACTTATGGCTAAAAGATAGGAATCAGTTGGGAAACAGGCTTTGTGGAGCAACTTGTTGCGTGTCAGTGGATGAGAAGCCAGTGTACTGGAACACTTTTAGATGCACTTTGTGCAGGTCATTTGTCAGCCTGAGATTTCTTACAGTCAAAGCAAACACAGCTTTGGACAGGATGTAATCTTGTCTTTCTCTTGAAGGTTTTCAAGCCATACCAGGCATCACAGCATGACATGTGCAGATTTCACTCCGAGGACTACATAGACTTCCTACAGAGAGTGAGTCCCAACAACATGCAGGGCTTCACCAAAAGCCTCAATGCCTTCAACGTGGGTGATGACTGGTGAGTGCTCTGTGCCTCCTGTGAACCTGGAGGCAGAAAGGCTGCTCTGATCCTGCACTGCTTGTGTCTGGAGAATTATTATAATATGTACTGGTTCATATTTTTTAAGCAGAATGAGGTGCGTGCCCCTCCTGAGCATAGCAGATTATTGGAACCACCTTGATTCCTTCCCCCTTCTCTTCAGATCTTATCCTCCTTTTTAGATCTGTATTTACATCATAAGCTCATTGCATTAGAGACTGTACCTCCACTTGTTCTTGCAGAATCTCCAGTTCTTCTTGAAAATACTATTATTTTTTTTTTAAATAGTTGCCTATCATTTTGGCTACCTTAATGTGTGCATGTTAAGTGCAAGGTAGCTCTGAGAGCCTGATTTTTCAGGTAGAACTGAGGAGAGTTTAATGCTACTGTCATCACATGAGAGCTTGTTACAAATATTCAATTCCAATCTTTCACATCTTTGAGAGACAAACCTTGACAGAAGTGTGTGGAAGGGCTCTGTGTGACTGAGGAAGTACACAGTGTGCCTTGTGTGAGGAAAGTAATGGCTATCAGAGAATAAGATTGCTCTTCCATATTTGGAAGGGAAAACAGTAAGTACTAGAACAAGAGGAGTTACATTAGATAGAGAGCCCAATAAGGTATTGGGATAATAGCCAGATTTTTAATATTTAGGCTGGATGATTTCTGTAACATTGCTCTGATCAGAAACCACTTATCAGAATACAGGAGGAAAATGAAAGTCTAAGTTATTATTTGTCCATGGATGACATTTGGGATGTCCGTGTGCCACTAACTCACAAGCATCACACCACATCCTCTTTTTCTATACTCTCGTAGAGATCTTGGTGCCTGTATTGGCTCTGCACAGTGGGTTTGATCCTGCCTCAGCTCTGCCCTAAGAGCTGCATTCACATCCAGTTATACTATATTGCATCCTGTGCTGTGTGCTGGGCAGTGGAGTGGGCAGGATCTTCCCAATGCTGTTACAGGGAGATAGCATGGGGCAGACCTGTCCTCCTTCCCCTGAGTCATATCCCAGCTCTGGACACACATCAGCAGGACTGCAGGGCAGATGCTGTTGTGTGTTGTGGGCAGAGGAGAGCTTTCAGGACTAGCTTTCCTGGCATTGTTCAGGAGAAGTGTAGAGGAATGAGAAGGTGTTCTTTGTTTGAATCATGACTTCTTTTGTTTCTTTTTCAGCCCAGTGTTTCCAGGGCTCTTTGAGTTTTGCTCTCGTTACACTGGGGCCTCCCTGCAGGGAGCAACACAGCTGAACAACAAGGTAACTGAGCTGATGGGCTTATCTTTGAAACACTGGTAAAAAACAACTGGCTATCAGTTCAAGGATATGAATGTGTTTAGTATAATAATGTGGCATGCTCTGCTTTGTGTCAGTGTAAATTCTTCCCACTATAAGACTCTGAAGGTTAAGACTATTCCTATGTCATTACAGTGACAAAATTATAGACTCATCTAAGTTAGAAAAGACTTCTGAGATTATCAATCCAACCATCTACCTAACAACACAAGTCTACCACTAAACTGCATCCCTAAGCACTACATCCACAAGTCTTTTCAGTACCTCTAGGGATGGAAACTCCACCACCTCCCTGGGCAGCTTGCTTCCATAACTGACCACCCTTTCTGTGAATAAACTCTTCCTGATACCAATCTAAACCTCTCCTAGTGCAACTTGAGGCTGTTACCTCACATCCTATCATTTGTCACTTGAGAAAAGAGACTGTTATCTCCTTGCTGCATCCTCTTTTCAGGTAGCTGTATAGAGTGATGAGGTCTGTCCCAAACATCCTTTTCTCCAGGCTGTGAACTGCCCCAGTTCCTTCAGCTGCTCCTCATGTGCCTTCAGAACCAATTATTTAGCTGTTCAATCCGGAGAGAGTAACAGCTTACTAATACTGCACATAGTAAAGCCAGAAGTGCTCTCAGCACTATAGAACAATAAGCCTGTGTTCTTCAAAGAAACTCACCTGCTGAGAGATCTCCAGAATGCTGCTAGGTCTCTGTTATGGAAATGCATTAAATGGGGCCACTCAGTACCTCTGAAGAAGAGGTCTGCTGGCGAGGATATCAAAGATTCAGAGGTGCGAGTCTTTCAAAGAGAGAATGCTTCTGGGAAAGGTCTAATGAGCATAACAGACAAACACAGGAAAAAGCTACATGTGCCACCTGTTCTGCCCGGTGTTGGATGGAGGGGAGCTGGTCTTTTCTAAATCTAAAGGGGAATGTAAAGCACACAGCTAATCTGTTGCTTGGGCTAATGAGCAAGCCAGAGCTTTGGAAGGGCCTCTATGGGTGAAGCAATGGGCAGAGAGGTGTATGTGGGCCACAGTGCTGGGCTGGCCAAAGTCCTTTCTGACAAAATGGATGCAAGGTTATAACCGTATTGTCATGTTAAACTAACTTATCTTTCCTTTCAGATCTGTGATATTGCAATAAACTGGGCAGGGGGCCTACATCATGCTAAGAAGTTTGAGGTAATGAGGTGTATCTGCATCCTTCTTTATGTTTTTGCACCTGTTGTTCTCTGATTCTAATTCTGTCTGGTTTTCTCTGTGTGGCAGGCTTCTGGGTTTTGTTACGTCAACGACATAGTAATTGGCATCCTGGAGCTGCTCAAGTAAGGACGTGGGGCAAGTGCACTACTGTCTTGGCTGGTGTGTGACTTCCCTCTCTGTGTTGAATCTCTCATCTGCCTGGTGGCTGTTCCTTTCTGGAGTCCAAGTAGGGCTCAGTCGCTTGGCCCGATCTCTTCTTTACACACAAGGAGTCTTAAGAATCGGAATATCTGACTCCAGCTTTGTTGTTCTGCTGCCTAAGCGATGTGGAGAAGTTCAGTTCTGTTTCTCCTCATCCATCTGTGAAATAGCCATTTCAGGGTCTCCTGGCTCGCTGCCTTTTTGCTTCAGTGAGCCTTTTGTAGGTAAATGCAGCATATGGCTCACAGGAGAGTTGAATGGCTTGCATATTTCTTGATTTGCTTGACTGAATTAAGAACAGGACTTGGGTAACACAGGAATGACCGAAGGATGCTTGCTTTGAATAGAAAAGAGTTTAATTTTTTCTTCAGAAAACAAAAAATCAGAATGGAAGGAAGAGAGAAATACCTGACACTCCTTGGATTAGTCAGTGGTGTATTTTTTTTGTACTCTCAGGTGCCCTGCTATCAGTATTTAGTGATAAGCAAGATGTTGAAGGATTAAACTAAAAAGAAAAGATTTGCAGATTCTGGTTGGTTGACCAGAAAATAGTTATGACTGATGGCAAGCTTCCTCGCTTGCAAAATCAGACTTAAGGGACATACTGGGGTTTCTTATACCTCCTTTCTCTCTACCAGCCTTCCCTGTTTTGAGTTTAGGACCTCAGGTCTTTACTGTTGCATCTGTGCACACCTATTTTCTTGTCTCACGTGAGTCCTGTTTGCTAGAGGTTTCGATTACTCCTCATGGGAGATTATATTGTGTCCTTATTCTTTTGTTCCATGTTTTGGAAAAAGTCCTTTCCTTCCATTACACAAAGCCTGTGTCTACGCAGTCCCTTCTTCTCTTTGCTATCATTTGCCTATAGGATAAATAATAAGGGCAATTTTATGACTTCTTGTGTCTCTGGGAGGCTGAGATGAGGTGCTGTTCTGCTAATCAGCATGGCTCAGTGCCATCAACCAGCATGATTAGGTCACTGCAGACACACTTAAGGCCATGCTTCCAGCAGACAGATGGTGTGAGCCACACGTTCCTCCTCTTTGTTTCAGCGTTGTCTTGTTTTTTCAGGTCCCTCCTGCTAGAGTTTTGGCATGGATGCCAGATCCACTGCTCTATGGGGACTGACCAGATGCAGCATTTCCTTAGGAAAAGTTGTGGGAGTTCTCTGCAACTCAGCATGCAGTCCTTGAGCTGACAGGCAGAGTGTGGCTCAGTGCCATATCGCCAGTGCTTGACAGTACCAGTGCTGTCACCTGCATGCCAGCTTTGACCATTACACCAGAGTGTTTACTTCCAGAGGTCTCCCATTCTTCCTCCTCTGTCTTTGTGACCCAGCAGGCTGGTAAATGTCATGCCTGAAATGCCTGGTGGAGTGGCTGTGCCAAAGGGAGCCTTCTAGAGTCCAGTTACTCCTCTTTTCCTTTCTATACCTGAACATGCATTCTGACTCACACTATGCTCAGTGCTTCCCTCACCCCTGTTGTTAATCAGCCTCTCACCATCCTCACAATGTTGTCTGGAGGATGAGGGGCTGAGGGGTTGACAGCACTCTGCCCTGATTTCCACAGCAGTAGGAACAAGGCAGCCTCTGCAGCCCAGCCTGGTGGCTTTGGTACTAGCCAGCGTGCACACAGTGCTGCCAGTGCTCTGGCATGAGGATGCAGTGAGCATTCCTTGGCTAGCTTACCATTTATTTCCAGATATGTTTAAAAATTCTTGGAGTTTTTAAAGATTAACTAACTGGCAGGTTGTCTGAGGGGGGGAGGAGGGAAACACAACATGCAGCTCTCTGACTCTTGTGGTTAAAATTAGTTTCTTTTTCTGTGGTTTCAAAAGTATTTCTGGCCCTGTCTGAAAACTTTTTCTACAATCTCTTTCCAGGCTCAGCAGAAGAAAATGCTTTAGTAGGGTGGGTGCTTAAGTTGATGCTGTGTATGAATGTAGCATATCTAAAGCTATTTGTTATGAGATAGATGAGATCTTCAGGTGGGTGGGCTTATAGTGGTCATTTTCATTGCACTGAGGCATATGTGGGGCAACAGTGTAGTTTAGTGTATAGCAAACAATAATGCTGCTTTTCCTCCTGTTTCTGATAGATATCACCCACGTGTTCTGTATATTGATATTGATATCCATCACGGAGATGGTGTGCAGGAAGCTTTCTACTTGACAGACCGTGTGATGACTGTGTCATTTCATAAATATGGAAACTATTTTTTTCCTGGTACAGGTATGTAACTTCCTTGGCAACTTGGCCTTGTTTCAGAGTCCTTCAAAAGTGGTGCTGGAGTTCAGGGGTCTAAGATGATTAGATTAGAACTACAGGAGCAAATGATGGAAGAAAGGACATGTAGAACCAGCTAGAGAGGAACAGAACTATAATTCTTTGTAGTAAACAGATTGTAGCTGGGTTAACAGACCAGATCTGGCCTTCTGACTCCTGTGAAGTCTTAGGGCTGTTGTGGCTCTTCTGTCTTTCCTTGGCCAGGGGACATGTATGAAGTTGGTGCAGAGAGTGGCCGTTATTACTGTCTCAACGTGCCTCTACGAGATGGTATCGATGACCAAAGTAAGTAGGTGTCCTTTCCCCTTCTCCCTTGCCCAGATGTTCATTGATCATTTTCTCCAGAGCCATGACAAGCTTGTTTTTCTCCCCAAAGGTTATAAACACCTCTTCCAACCAGTCATTAACCAGGTGGTAGATTACTATCAGCCCACCTGCATCGTATTGCAGGTAAGGATACAAGCCTTTGTGCACATGTACGTTCTTGTCAGAGGCTGCAGTTTGAAGGGCCATTTCTCAAATGTGTTACTGTCTGTTCCTGGGAGGTCAGGGTAGGTGTGACCCATCTGAACTGCTAGTTGAAGTCACCTTTGCTGAATGAAGCTTGCAGAGGGGTAGGGATGTCAGTGTGTGTCTGGAAATCAATGCCTATGTAGCCAAAATTCATTTGTTCTTTTTCTCTTCCCCAGTGTGGTGCAGATTCTCTGGGTTGTGACCGTTTGGGCTGCTTTAACCTCAGTATAAGAGGACATGGGTAAGTACAGCAGGGTTGGGACACAGCAAAAGAACTGCAAATGGTCCTGTGTTGTGAGACCTGAGCTTTGGCATTCCAGCTGCACCAACTTTATTTGTTTTAAACTGTTGTGTGACAGAGACTCTCAGAATGGGACTTCAGGAAAACAGTAGCTCACAGAGCAGCACGTGGTTCAGGGCCTCTGGGTAGGAACCCTGAGCCTCATGTTTGCTACACTAACTGTGGTGGTGGATGAACACACAGTGAAATTTTAGGCATGTGAACATGTGCTGCAGGTAGCAGCTTTGATGTTGTTTCTTTGGGATTTCTAGGGAGTGCGTGGAGTATGTAAAGAGTTTCAACATCCCCTTACTGGTGCTGGGAGGAGGCGGGTACACAGTCCGCAATGTAGCACGGTGCTGGTGAGTCTTATGGGCTTGTTGTGTATCTGATGAAGCATTTACTGTGGGCTTTGTCCCCACATGCACCCTGTAGCTTTCTCTGGACTGAGCTCATCTTAGTCTTTGTTTTTTTTGGGGTTTTTTTTTCAGGACTTACGAAACATCATTGCTTGTAGATGAAGCAATTAGCGAAGAGCTCCCGTATAGTGGTAAGTTCAGGTTCCCTTGTTTTCTTATTAGTTGAGCTAAAGCAGTTGTATCAACTGAAGATTTAGCACTTAATTCTGTGTTGACCAGGGCCAAAGAGACAGCACTTCCTGACCTTAGTCCTGATTCCCTTCCATCTCCCCTTTGTAGGCTTATCTGATGCAGTGAGGATGTGTCTGCTCAGCATTTTATTTGGATCACTTGTATGACTTGAGCATTAGTTCTGCTGACTCTTGTTTCATATAATCTTTTGCAGTTGCAGAGTTGTACATCACTGTGGTTTATAGGGTCTGGTTACCTCTAGCATGGTGGGAGGGTGAGCCCTGCTTCCCTGCAGAGCTGTGCATCTGCTGACTGACTCCCTTGCCCTTGTGTTTTAACTCTTGCTCATGTCTTCACAGAGTACTTTGAATACTTTGCTCCAGATTTCACACTTCATCCCGATGTCAGTACGAGGATTGAAAATCAGAACTCCAGGCAGGTGAGTGCCTTGCGTGCCTTACAGCATTGTCCAGGTGTGTAGCCCAGGAAACCCTGTGGTTGATATCTTGTCCTGCAAAAGCAGATGGAGCCCAGGCAAGGAATTACTGTGGCGTCAGAAAGCTGATAGAGCAAATGCAGGCTTTTCTCTGGGACATCAGAAAGTCTCAAAGGGTGTATAATATTTGCAAACTCTGCTGGATTGTCTTACTGTTCTGAGTGCTGGAGCCTCAGTGATTGAATTAACTTTCCCATCTCTTCTGCTCTGCTAAATAGCTTTCTGCATAAGGCAAAGGCATTTCTCATGGCCAGCACTCAGGTGATGCAGGCAGGCAGTAGTGCTGACCATTGTGGCTCTGAGCGTCAGATCTGTTGGTGATGATCCCTCTCTGGTTTTTTTTTCTTCTGAATAGTACTTGGATCAGATCAGGCAGACAATATTTGAGAATCTGAAGATGTTGAACCATGCTCCCAGTGTGCAGATCCACGATGTCCCTTCTGACTTGCTGAGCTATGATCGCACAGATGAACCTGATCCAGAGGAAAGAGGCTCTGAGGAAAACTACAGCAGGTACAGCTCTAATGTTCCAGGGACACCTTTCTGTCCCTGTAGGATCCTCTCTCTGTAAATGTGTGGTCTCCTTGTAAAGCAGTGCATGGGGTATGTGGGTGCAGGGCATCTTCTGATCTTGTAGGCTTTTGTCTCTGATAGTGTCTTTTTCCCCCCCAGGCCTGAAGCTGCCAACGAGTTTTATGATGGTGACCACGATAATGACAAAGAGAGTGATGTTGAAATCTGAGGAATCTGATGGACTCTCTGGACTCTGGAGATCTGGGACTCTGGACCATGGGGGGGTTCCCGTGTTGGACACTGGTGCAGTTAATTGGCTGCATGGGAGCCAGTGAGCCCTCCCTTCATATTTGACTGCATGCAGTGGCAGCAGAAAACAGCACCACTGCAGACTTCTGCTCCCTGAAATGCAGAGGGCAGTGAAACATGTTCCTTGCTTTCCACCATGCATCACAATTCCACCTGTCACCAATCTGGGAAATGGAAATTCAAGCAGCACTCAGACCTGTGCCGTGGAGTGGCTGGCAGCCACGCAGCTGCCTTCTGAGCCCGACTCAGTCAGCTTCTTCAGCTCCCTTGCAGGTTTCTGCCAGAAAGGTGGGAGCTGAAGTGTCTGTGCCTAGAGCCTCTGCCTCATCAACAGCACACCTGCCACATCCTGCTGTCCCCAGCCATCTGCTCAGGTACCCACTTGGTTGTCCTCTTGAAGCCTGCACCTAGGCTTGCTTCCTTGTATCCTTTCTACCCATCTGCTGCTCCACAGCTCGGAAAAAAAAACATTCAACAAGACAAGGCCAGTTCTGGGGTAGGGGTCAGGAGCATGGTCGGAGCAGGGTGAAAGAATTGTATGCAGTGTAGTCTTGTTTATTTCCCCTATGCTCAGCTTTGTTCTCACAAATGGGTAACGCCACACTTTGCCAAGTAGGACCTAACTCCTTTTTTTTTTTTTAATTATTTGAAAGGTTAAAATCACTGTGAAACAGCAGTTTGGTTGCCAAGATCAGTACACAGTGTGTCTCATAGCTCTAATGTAGCTTCTAGCTGTGTTTTCCAAGTTCACAGGTGTGTTTGCAAGAGGCTTGGGCTGCTCTCTGGGAGCAAAAACCACCCTCTCCTGGCTGTGCCCTGGAGATGTCACTGCTCACGGGTGAAGGAGGCTGCTTCCTACAGGCCCTGCTGTCTTGTCCTCACACAGCAGAGGTTTCCCAGATTCCAGACTTTGCTGCTCCTTCTCCTGCACTGTCACCTGGTCCTCTTGTGGTTTGGAGGGTGCTGTCTGGGGAGAGGGGGGGGGGCTTAGCCTCTTACTGTATGTACTGTTCTGTTTGTTTACTGATGTCTTTAAACATTAAATGAAGAGGCAGTATTTTTCTTACCTGATCTGTTTGTCTGTTTAATGCTTGTGCCTTTTTGATTCCTGTCCTCCTTGAACTGTACGCTGCTGTGTGCCAGAGTGCAGTGAGGGGAGCCCTGGGTTCTGGGCTTGTGGCTGTTCCTGCTTATACCTCTAGAACAGGGAGAGTTGACCAGGTTGCTGCAGAGTGCATGTAAAAACCTTGTTTTAAGTGTAGATTCTTTACATTGCACACTCCATGAGAGCCTGCCCTTCCTGTGTTCCTCAGGCACATGTTAGTCACTCTCCATTTCTGATTCTGCTGCTGTCTCACTTTTATTCCCTGTCCCCAGTGCTGGGGTGTGGTGGGTCTGGGCAGGGGCTCACAAATCTTCCTGCCAGGCACCAGTGTGGTACTGCTGTGACCTGCAAAAGGTTTGTCCTCACATCCATGGAGATGCAGTTGGCAAACAACTCCACTCATGGTAGCTGGAGGCCAGGTGGGTTTTGGCCTCTGCTGGGCCAGGCCTTGAGAGGCAAGCAGTGCTGGAAGCTGGGGCTCACTGGGAGCTGGCTGCCTGCCTGGGACCTCTGCCTTTCTGCCACCCATGAGGCTCTGGCTGCAGTTTGGTGCTGCAGCTCAAGTTGACTTCATCAAAGGCCAGCTTCAGGAAGTGAGAAGCACAGGATGTCCTTGCATAGGTGATGCTGGCCTGCTCACACAGCCTGGTTGAGACACTGGAGCCGGGTGTCACCTTATCTCCACTCCTGTCAAACACTTCTGCACAAAAATATGATCTTCACAGAATTGGATTTTGGCTGCTGGTTACTGCAAATGCAACACAATTGATGGCCATCTCTTTGCTAGATACCTGCTTGCCACTGCATACCTAGGATCTCAGGTGAGTCTTGCTGTTCAATCTCTTCCTCCTGCACAACCCTCACTCCTGTCCTGCCCCAGGCAATGACACTCCTGCTCCCCATCATGCCCCAGCCTCTCCATTGCAGCACCTGGGCTCTCCCTGTTTTCCACCCTCAGTGCAACCCCTGTGGCTCTTCTGTGGCTCTTCCGCCTCATAAAGAAACAGTCTGTGAGGCTGAGCTCTGCTTGTGTGTGTAACACTTGCCATTCCCTGAGTACTGAAATGTGCTCATGTGAAGTTAGAAATAACAATCAAAAATAATTCTTCAAATTATCAATTAATCAAAATAGCCAAAGTTCATAGAAAATTAAGCAAACTAGCACACACATTCCCAACAGTGCACAAAAGCTAATGATGCATCCTGCTTCTGGCTTCCTTCTCCCTTGGGAGCCTTTGTGAGCCGCAGCCCCCACCTTGGATAGGATCTGTTCCTGCCCTCTGCACCCCAGCATGGGCTGGAGCGTGGCTTTCCCACTTGGTTTCTGGTTTTTTGGAACAGGAACAACGAAATCACCCCTTCCAGCCCAAACTCAGCCCTATCAAATCCCATCTGTACTAAGAAAATATGGTAAATGCTGTCTGTGCTGAGTGATTCTCACATAGCTCTGGTCCCATGGAGCCTGTCCATCCCTTTGTCGTCCTCCTGTCCCCCCTTCTGGGCTTCCACAGAGCTGAGACCTTTCCTTCTTTGTTTATTTGTGGCTTGTTTTCTGTGCTCTGTTTAAAAAAAGCTTATGTAGCTCTTCAGATTCTCATTTTACAGACTGAAATAAAGGAAGCTGCAAGGATTTCTGCCTGGGAGTTGGGTGTCCACATACCCTGCTGTCAGCCTCCAGCCAATGTGATGACAGTGAACCCGTAATGGTATTGTCGTTCAGATAACTCATGAATCTGCAAATTTTGCCTCCTGCCACGCAGGACATAATTCTCAGCATCTCACAAGCTGTGCTCTGCTGTGCCTTACGTGTGTGAAATAACACATAACTGCAAATGTCTCCCATAGTGCCTACAGAGAGCAAGAAACCTTAGCAGTGAATGCAGGCTACCTTGGGCAATGCCATGGGTAACTGAATGTGTAAACGTAACTGCATGGCAGGGCTGGACAGGCAAAGGTCAGATCCTGTACTGTACCAGCCAGGCAGCTTATGGGACACGGGGAAAAACTCCCTTTGATGCACGCTGTGTGCCTTGGGATGCAAAGGGGTGCTGCTGCTCTACGTGCTCCCAGCACAGGGCATGGGGAGGTGGTCCCCAGCTGGGAGGGAACCACAGTGCTTGTGGTTTTGGTGGTGCCCAGGAGGCTGAGGACCGTACACCTCATTCAGCTGGTACTTCTGCTCCTAGCTTTCCCTATTTATTGATGTTTTCCAGTCAGAGCTCTGAGTACTTTATCCTTGTTTTATTATTTTTGGTGATGAGGGTGTTTACGACTGCTCTGCTTCTCCTCAGCATCCAGAGAGGAAACAGAGAGCTGCAGTTCAGCAGGGACAGAACGCTGACTGGGAGGAGATGGGGTCCTTCCCACTTTGGTGATGGGAGCAGACCTGACCCTCTGCTCCAGGCACCACAAGGAGCCCACAGCCAGCATTCCTGCTCAGCCTCCGTTTTGTGAGCTTCTCAAAAGTTAAAGCAGGCCTGAAACACCTTTGAGTAAGTCAAGCCATGTTCATCCCTGGGCAGTTCAGTCTTACTGGGAGTAGTGTATCACACCACAGCTACATGGATCCAAAGAAGGAAATTATTTGGGAGCTTTAAGATTAACAGAGCTGACTGCCTTCTTGTCTGAATGTCCAGACCAGAAACCTGCCTGTGACAGCAACCACAGCTGGTGCTTGCAGAAGTGTGTGATAGGGAAGGACCTACAGCAGTTCCCCAGGTGCTCTTCTGCTTCCAAGCATGCTGACCCAAAGCCCCTCAGGTCACTGTAGTTTCATGGTCACCCTGAATGGATTTGTTTTCCGTAAGCCTGAAGCTGTATCACCTCTAAGTAGCAGCTGTGGGTGATGGGTTCCATCCCGTCAGACTTGGCCTTGCTTACCTTGTGATACTGAGCAATGCTCTGCCTGTTCTCCAGGTCAACAGGCCGAAAGAAGAGCTTGAAGACATCGAGAGAAATGGCCCCTACACCTGGCATTGCTTTGAGGGGAGCTGCACCTCCAGTGTATCCTTAGGGATTGTCCCCAGAGATGGTTCGTACAGACCAAGCTGGACAAAGGTGAGACCAACATTTAAACACTGCTCTGTACCTTACACTTCCACCCAAGCAAGCTCCATCGCCCTCTTGAGACTTTTCATGGCACTGATTCAACAGTCTGTAGGGAAGCCTGCTTTCTGCAGAGGGAGGAGGCTCCATCAGGACACACTTCTTAGGCAGCCACTGATGAACACACCTGGGTATTTTGTCCCTTCATGACCATGAGGTCCCACCAGCCATGAGGGGAGAGGTGGTTCTCCTGGCTCAGCCACATTTGCATCCTAGTGCAGCTTGGAGGCAGAGCAGGGTTGGCTGTAGGCAGTGCTCACGGTGATGCTGATCTCCACAGCAAGACCCAAAGCTGAAGCTAAAAGGCAACAGAGTGCACAGCTCTCCCCTGTGCCTGCAGGAAGGCAGGCTGCAATCCTCCAACATCCCCATCCCATGGCAACAGCATGAGCCTAGGAGGTGAGTCAGGTTGGGATGGATGCGTTGCTTTGCACTAAGAGCAATGTCTCACATCCACCACAATCCTCTTTAGGGCTGCTGCTGTTTCCCTGCCTCTGTGCACGAGGAAGAGCAGCAGGACCTGGGTGGCTGTGAGTACAGTGCCTGGGCAGAGGGTTTGTGGCAGTGGTGCGTCCCAGTGCCTGTGTGGCACAAGGGGGTGTAAATAGGGGCTGGGAAGCTGCTGAGCACAGCCATCCCCTCCTTAATGTTCCTTGGAAAGGGAAGGTGAGGAGGAGGCTTTATTCTATCCAGTGCTATCCATTCTATTTC